ATTAACTTATAAAAATGCATGCTAAATATTAAAAAAAATCAATTTACATATAAAATTGTATTTTAAAATTTTGGAGAACAAAAAAATAAGAAGGGATTATCAACCATATTTTTTTTTTATTTCTTCTTTCACGAAAAAAGAATAAAAAACAGTAATCAAACATGATTCTGATTGTATTTATTAAAAAAGAGGGATCCAAAAATAGAAATGTTACCGAATAATATGAGAAATTGTGTGGATAAGCCTCAGAAGAAACTCATGTTCATGTGTGTTCGTAATTGTTTTTGTAAGTGAAAAGGAGGTAAACCAAAATTTATTTTATTTTTTATTTTGTATTTATTATTTTTGTAGCAAAGCAAAATCATGTTGACCACTTACAAAGTTGGAATGTTGTACACGGGAAATGAAATGTAGTCCATTTACAAATAATACAAACATTAATTTCTTAAATACTCTTCAATTCTATTATTTTATTCATTTCCATGAAATAATTAAAATTATGTATTTCATTATCAATCCTTACATTATTCTAGTAGGTCTACAACCAAAAATTGACATTCCCCAGCTTGGCTTCCATTTGGATATATATTTTAATATCCAATAATATATGAATTTGAAAATAGTAATTTTACGAAATTATTTTAATTTGTCAATTTTCTACAATAACACTCCACATTAAGTCATATAAGATAAGAAAGCTTTTTATTGTATCATGAATGGTATTTCTAATATGATTTTGATATTATGTCAATATTTTGACAGTTTTTTTTTCCTTTTTTTTTTCTCTGACAACGTGAATTTGAGAGATTATTTCAATTCATGAAGGATAATATTGAAATTTTTAAAAGATTAAGAAGGAGATGGATAAAAGATCCAGATAGATTGGTTATTGGAGCAATTAGAGGAATGACTATATTAAATAGTGCGACACGTGCCCGCTAATCAACATTTTTCTTAATTAGTTTACATCACTGGACTTTTTGAGGTTGAAGGCCCAAGCCCAGGCCCAAGAGAAAATGGTTGGCTGGGTTTGAATCCTTTCTAATAGGGGGAATAATTTGGGCCTCGGGGGATATTGGAAGACGTATTTCTGGTGGCAGTGATAATGATGACCCGAAGATTTTCGAAACTTGAGAGACCTCAATGGTTCGAGTACGTTTGGAATTGGTAGGAAATGATTTTAAAATTTAGAATTTTAAATGATAAAAATGATTTCGAATTTCTAATTGTGTTAGAACCAAATTAATTCTAAATTATTGAAATTGAAAATGTTTTTTTGGATGTTCCCGAAAAATAAAAATGAAGTGTAACGTTTTATTATTATGGGCTTAATATTTTGTATGATATTATATCATTAATAATATCATATTTTAATATAAACGAGTAATTTCAACCGTTGACAATAGAAATAATTTAATCAAATCAACCTAACAAAATTAAACTTGTTGTTATAGAGAACAAAAACGACCCGAAACGGGACAAGGAGTTGAAGCCTGAGATCATCGATTGAGGGAGACCAGCCCGCGACATAACGAGCCGGCCCAAAGAACGACCTAGCGTCGAGGCAGAGAACGAGGAAAGTGACCGGCGAAGAACCAACCGGGCAGAGAGGGCTCTGTCCCGACCCCTTCTCGATCCTGACCCCTGGTCGGCCCACGACCCAGCCCGTGAATCTCCCGCTTGTGATCAACGATCCCTCGGGCCCTGCAACGCTGAATTAGGGTTTGGCTACGGAGGTTCTGGAATCATCTTCATGGCTATAAGTAGCAGTGAGATCCAACCCTAAGGAGGCAAGTGACTTATCCTTAGCTAACTATTTTTTCAACTCTCCTTCGCTAACTTAAGCATCGGAGTCCGTGTGACTAGGTCACACCGGTTTAGATCGATTTGATTTTGCAGGTATCGGTTCCCTTATCATCGAGTTAGGTGTGTGCGAGAAGAAGAGCCGAGCCAGAGGGTCAAAATCCACGCATCAACACTTGTCAATATCACATTTATTTTAAAAACTAGACTGAAAAAACTTGCAAAGGTCTGGATTCAAATATTAAAAAAAAAACTTAAAATCAAAATATTTTAATTTATTGGCACCAAGTTGTTTTTTATCATAGTTTTTTCTTTTTATGATTTGCAGTACTAAAAAAGACGAGCAAAAGGAGAAAAAAAAGAAAAATCTACAAATAATAATAATAATAATAATAATAAATAAACATAAACCTATAAAGATCAAAGCAATATTGAAAGGTAAGAAAACTTAAAAACACCGAGAACAAAATAGAAAATCAAACCTTAATTTGTTTGAATGGTTATGAAAATAATGTGTAGGGAGAGTTTATTAGAATTACGAAAAAATGAAAATAAAAGGAAAGGACTGCAAACCACAAATTTATCAAAATTTGAAAAGAAGGTTAGAATGATAAGTATTTCTTCAAATTACATATTTATTTATTTATTTATCCAAATGATTTTTCTCCCCCGATCCAAGTTTCTAAACAGGGGTATAGAAAGAAGACAGAGGAATGGGCAGAAATATTTCAAGTTCACGTCTTGTCAAAAAAAAAAAAAAAAAAAGGTTAAAGAAAAACTTGATTTTAAAAGACGATCTAGATTTCTAAAACAAAAAACTTACTAGTAAAGAAATGTCAATTTCCCAAATAATTGCCCCAAGTTAGTGGGTTATTCTCTTAAAATTGTTATTTTGTACTCAATAATTTTTGCTTCAGAAGTTTGAGTTAGTTATCCAAAAAATTCTCTAACTTCAGGTTGACAAGTAAAAAAAAAAATTCTATCTTTTTAAAGAAAATTTGCAGTGGATAGCGCACATCTTTTATGTATTTCAAAATATGTCACACGTTTATATCACTTATATCAGTAGTATATCAGACACTCATATCAATAGTATTTTAGATGTATATCATATCCATATTGTACATATTGCACAACACTCATATAAGTAGTATGTCAAATGTATATCACATACATATTGCAAGTATATCAAACACTCATATCAGTAGTATATTACATATATATATCAGTAGTAAGATATATTACAGATGTATATCATTTGAGTAAAGTTGTCATTTTAAAATTACACTTTTTTTTTGTTTTAAAAAATGCTATATTTGAAAAAATGGATTAGTACATAGATGATCTATTCAGGAAATCATAATTATGTAAAATGATGGAAAAGTATAGAATTTACACTTTTGCCATCAAATAATCCCTAATTAAATGGTACCCATGACACAAATCACTAGTATATCCTTAGGATCCATCTCAATATTAAATAATTATTAAAATTTAGAATTGGTAAATTGGGTGGTCAAATCCCTTAAAATGTGTTAATGATACTTCCCAAAATTAAAAAATCCTAAAATCCCCAAAACTCATCCATTTTCGAAACCCACCCGTTTCTTCTTCCTTGTTTTTCTTTTCTTCCTCTGACCATCGGTTTTCCTTCCTCCGACCCTCTGTTCCTCTTCTCCGACCGTCTGCCTTCCTCTCCGTCCGGCTCTGTTTTTCTTTGTCACAAGAGCATTTCATCTCCGACCACCTTCGAAAAGAGATTTTTGTCGGTTCTTATTCTCCGGGCGTTTCTACCTGCCTTTGTCTCTAGTCGACGTTTATCTGCCTTCATCTCCATCGCCTCTATTTTTCTCAGTCGCTAGAACAGTTCATCTCTAGATTGAAAGATTTGCATTCCAACAGATGTTTTCAATTTCTGATTTGGTGTGAAATATTGTATATGTGAGAATATATAGTATAGTGATTTGATTAGGATATATCTTGTAACTCAACATGTATGGATATGCGGATATATACTATAGGGATTTTGAATGTATATATGCTGATATATAAGTGGATATATCTTATAACTAAACTTGTATATATGCGGATATGCGAATATATACTATAGTAATTTTGAATGTATATATGCCAGTATATAAGTGGATATATACTATGATTTTGAATATATTTTTTGAATATGCGGATATATGTTTATCGAGACTTCAAAAGATGTTTATGTGATTTTGAATTGTTGAAGATTGAGCATCAATGTGGGAGTGAATTAAAGGAAAATCTATATTTTTTAAAGAGTAAATTAAGGTTTTGAAGGAGTGAATTAACATATTTGTGTTGAAAATAAATATGAGACCTACAATAATTAAAGGATTATAATAATAATTTATGGAACTAAATCTTTTATATTTCAAAAAAAAAAACAAATAACTATAATGAATGTAAATACCATAAATAAGGGTAAAATCGAAACTCCGAACACATTATCTGTCGAAAAAACTAGATGTGGTTGCTATTTTTAAATATTTTTGTCTGGTCCTTTTTTAAGATCTCCCTCAAAAAAACCTTGTTTTAACAAAAAATTTACAACCTCAGTTTTTTTTCTTCCTTAAACTAAATTTAACATATAAATAAATATATAAGGACCTGCATAAGTCAAATCTGAAATTTTCGACAAAGATTCCTTGCAAATTAGGATCTATCAATCTAGGTTTTATCTAGGCAACTCAAAATAAATTGATATATCCTACATCTTTATAAATAAAAAAGGAACCAAATTCCATTAGAGAGAGAAGTTATAAAAATTTGTCAATAAAATTTAGAAAAAATCCCAACTTAAATTCTGTAAATTAGCGTTTAATGGGTAAATTAATTGTACATTTGAAAAAACAAAAAGGTAAGATTTAAGAAAAAATGCCCCTTAAAGTATGATTTTTGCTACAATTGCATCCTCAAACTTTCAATAGTAAAATTTAAACTCTCAAACTTTATAAATTGCAAATTTAAACTTCCCAATTATAAAAAATTAAATACTAAATTGAAAAAATTAAATCAATTTTGGTTTCTAAAATTTCCAAAACTCAAAATCTTAACCATGGTGAGCATCCCCAATGGCCCATCAGCCCTCGGCATGAAGTAAGCAGCCTGGGGCCTTCCTCGCTATGCTGCACTCTCCCAGGTTTCAACAAGTCCATTCCTTTTAATTTGACTTGAATATTTCTTTTACCTAAGAAATAAACAGCAAACATACATCCATAGCATTGAAGTTGCCTCCCAAATTTTGGACGATATAATCTACAGACCCAGAATTCTATATCCAATTTCAGTTCAACAAAGACACAGAAATCCTTATTTCCTTTCATGTTATCTAATCTACAAGCCATGAAACTGTGTCATTATTATTACCTAATGCATCAGTTTACAAAGTCAGAAGTGGCTCATACCATCCTTCGGCAAACCCTTAGCACCAGGAACATCAATCCATTCGATCTGTATCGTCACCTCACCGCACTCTACATTCTTCAACCTAAGGTGCATGTCCTGTACAATTTTCCCCTTGTTCCAAACACACTGGCTCTCATCCGATAAACAGTTTGTTCTGTTTGGATATACTCTCTTAACCACACACCCATCTGGGAGGCTCTCCAGTCCTAACTTCAAACACTCTATGTATGGTTTGATGTCGATCTCGGCATCTCCCATCTTGTCATGGTCTGTTAGTGTGTCTTTGTCAAACACTGACTAAAAAAGGGAAACAAGAGCATACAGCAATAAGTTACATGTGCTCCACATCAAACTCATTTTATTCATTGTCATTAGAATATATTTCCTTTACTCTATCTGGTGGTTGGCATGAAGCTCTTATTTGTAATTATCAAAGAGAAATATTACTTACTAAAGTGATTGGAATGTTAAGATCCGCAATCGAAAGAGTCAACTGATCATTCCATTCAGGATTGCAATTATTTTTCACCACATGAGTCTTCAAAGTCTGCACCAATTTGAGTTATATCAGAAGAATACTTAAAAAATGTAAACCAAGTATCCAAGAGATGGCTTAAGAATATCGATGAGGTGGGTTTTGGTTCATTATTTTGAAAGCTTGAGTTTTCATGGTTAAGATTCAGGGGACGAATTTTGGATTTAGAATGGGCTTTACAAACCTGTAGGTTTGTGTAACTTGTGTTTGTTTTATAAGTTTTGAAACTTGTACAAGTTAGTACAGAGCCTAAGAAGTGGTTTACAAAAATTAGTAAAATCACTAGAAAGCCAAACTTCTCAAACCAAGAATCAAATGACCCCTCAAAATAGACCAAGATTCATATGGATCAGCTGATTTTATCATTCATCTTCCTATTGGCCTTGGCCAAAAAATTTTCTGGCAGAAGAAATAGTCTAGTAATACCAAAACCATTTGATTAAAAAAGAACAAAAATTTAAAAATAAGTTATATCTCAATTCCACTTGTTTTTTTTTATGCTTCTTCCAATGTTACCTGTTATATAAATTGCCAACACTCACAATTTATATCCAAACAAGACACAAACCTTTCAGAGTTGAAATGTTACATTACTGTTGGAATTGGAGGAGCCAAATCGATGTTGGAACAAGCTAGGGATGAGTCGGGATCAAGTCGGGATGCGTCAAGACGAAGAAGGAATGAAAACAGGTGAAGTGGGACGCTCAGACCAGGAGTGTCGAGGAGGCAGCGCCGAGCGCTATCCTGTTGTGCGCACACGGACGGAAGTTCTGTCTGTAACGCCATGGCACTGTATCAATGTATATTCAGTTTCGGGTTTTAGGATTACCCAGTCGAAATTAGAGCCATTTGGATCCGATTTCAGAGCAGTTTTGTGGTGGTTTCGAGGCAAAGGCTTGGGGGATTGACAGGGACATTGAGGCATATCAAGATCGTCTTTATTGGGGTATTGTATGTTGATCATATTGTGAGTTTTCTCATTTTTGTAACTAAGTAATTGTGTTAGATTGTTTAGAAGTTAGGGGGCTTTTGTTGGAAACTCTAGGAGATATTTTTGGGAGAGTTGATTGTAATTCAATTCTTGACAATATTAGTGAATTAACTATATCTCAGTGCTGAGTAGAAGATTGCACGTAACGCTTAATTGGTGAACCAACACTGAAAGATACAAACTCCCTTACGATAGTAGGGAGAAATCCCACCAATGGAAAATAACAAAGAGAAATACAAAAGAGCCCGTACTTTAGATAAATATCAAATCAGCTACATACCAACTAAATCCCAAGAATTTTTGCTAACAATATTACAAGAAAGCCCCCAACTACCACAATTGATTTTAATCACAAGTGATTTACTTCTTTTTAAGCTCAGAATAGCTTGGCAAAAAAAAGTCATCGTCCAACTCAAATAAAATTCGAATGTCTTTTCCTTGTCTTCTCCCTTTCTAAACTGATATCGACCAAATCGGATAGATTATAATTGATTCTAATCCTTTTTTTTTCAACTCTTCAAACAAATTACCAAATAAACGAACAATTTCACTCTAAACACGTTACACGGGCAAAGAAAGGATCAGAGAACCGCTGCAAACTGAATAACCTAAAACGAGCTAAATCAGCAAGCAATGATTCAATCAATTACTTCAGAATACACACTAGGATCACCAATCTCATCAATAACAAGAAACTTGAAGCACAGGGGAAAAAACATCCACATACCTGCTCGCCCATCGTGACGACGACAAAAGGATCGCTGCTGCGAGTATCACGAACAGCCAAATTAACACCGCGCAGCACTCGGATTCGGAGAAGACCCAAGATATGTTCCATGGCGGAGCCAAATAGAGCTCAGTCGCGAAGACGATGAAATAAATATATAATTACAGGACGAAATTGAGAGAAAACTTGGTATCTGTTGGGAAATTTTCACAATCAACGAGTGAAAATCAGGCGTTGGAAACCCTAAGGATGCGTCAATGGAGAGAAAATTAGAGAAATGGAGACGAAGATTGAATTAATGGACGCTCCGGACTCCGGAGTTTGTTTGTGGTCGACCGTCGTTGTCGTTGCGCTAAACTGCAGTTTCGCCGCTCAGGTTCTCTCTCTTCTCAGTCCTCTCCATTTTTATTTTTTCTTTTTTCTAATAAAAGTAAATTTTTTTAAAATAATAAAAGTAATTTCTAATATATACTAAAGATTAAAATATGTACTTGTAATCTCAACTTTTCTTCATTTTCGTCCCCGTAGTTTCGAGACATTCATTAGTTTCAGGTATTAAAAAATAATAATTTTGGTACCTTAATTTTTTTTAATTGACTTGATACTATATTCAATATATTTGATATTTTTTGAAATGTAATCATGACTTTAGTATAATTTATGTTAACATTTTGAAAATAGGGACAAAAATAGTCATTTTCTAAAAATATAACGATTAAAATAAACATTTTGAAAGTACAAGAAACTAAAATTTACCAAAATTGAAAGTATAATACCAAAATGAACATTTAAAATACATGGACCCAAATTAACCAAAAGACTAAACTAGTATTTTAACCTATATTCAATAAAACTTTTTTTTCCTACTACTTTTACCCAAAAAAAAAAATAATAATAAAAGTAATTCTGTTCTTACCTCAAATTCGGCCTAATGGGTCCATTTTAAACCTATGTTTGTTGCATGGTATTTATAAAGTTTCAAAAATAATTGAGGGATAAAAGTTGAAATATTACTTTATTAGTTAGGAATGCTATAGTTGTGTTATTTTCTGAATAACTTGTGAGGAAAACATAGGGCATTAAAAAAAGTGCAAGTTGTGATTAGTTTAGTAAGGATTTTGAGAATTTTAGTTGAGAAACAAAACAGAGAAGAAAAAGTCCTTAGAAAACTTCTTTTTTAAGTGACTATAAGAAAAATATTGGGTTTGTTTGAGATTGATTTCCATAAATGAGTTGTTACATTATGAAATATGTTATGTCTGCTTTCATTTAGTAGTTGACATTCAAATTTGTGTGCCTTATTGGTAAATCTCTTTGTTCAATTTGTACTTTGATCTTGTGTGCCTTATTGGCATTCAAAACTATCTTGCAGTATGCTTAACTTTTGCAACAAACGGACACATAATTTATTTGTGAGAAAATCACCTCCTCTACTAACTCCATTATACCAACCACCACTTTAAAATACAAACACTATTTAAACCCCACATTACTCAGGTAAAAGGAAAAGTAAAAACTATCTTACATTGTACGAGGTTCTTTTAGGTAAAAACTGAAAAGCAAAACCTTAAAATTTTATGTAAAAAATAGATAAATATCATATCATTTTAGAAATGATGACAGAAGATTTTGTAGCATTCATTGTTGAATGAGAAGAAATTTATGTAGCCTAATCTTTTCATGCACTTGGTACTCTTTCTCCCATCAACCCATCAAACATATTAGGTGGCTTTAATAAAAGTATCAACATTTTTAATTAATTATTATTTTGAAGAATAATAACATAATGTATAATATAAATTTAGAATAGCTATAAAAAATCAGAAGTTTTTTTTTTTTTCTTTTTAAGCCACTTTTTAATATAATATAGACTGAATTTTAGTTCCAATGACCAATCTGATTTGCTAGAATTTGATCTTGCATTCATTAGTTTACTTTTTTTTTTTTTAATTGAGTAAATGTAACAAAAACCTAACAAAAGTAAGAATTGCAATTTCCCCTGCTTATTTGACGTATTTCCCAAACAACCACAGTTTGGTCCTTAGAAGTCCTCCATTTTCCAATTTGGCCCTCAAATTTTAAAAATTCAATTTGCATTAAATTCTAATTTTAGTCGTTCTCATTAAAGTCATAACTTAAATATGAAAGATAGATAATAAATAACGTCATATCACATCATCGTCAGCTTATAGATAACCTTTCGAGACCGAAGCCAAATTCTATATTTAATAAAAGTTGAAGTAATGATAGCTTAAAATTTTAGGAAATAAAATAAAGAGAAATAGGAAAAAAGAGATTGCATAACAAAATCCCCGTCTAACAAGTTCAACGACCATGGTGAAAAATAGATTGTATTCAAGAATCAAATTTATATATACACCTAAACTATTTTACATGACTTAAAATTATATATATATATATATATATATATATTTTTACATGGCGATAAACAATAACATAAAAGCATTAATATATTTATAACACAAAAATAATGGTTAAATTATACATTTTTATTCTTTTACTTTGAGTTAATTTGGTCCTGTACCCTACTACAGTTAGATCTCATAAATAGTTAATGTCATTAAAAATAAATAAAGTCCATATCATTAATGAACATAATTAATTTTAACGAGAAATTGACCTGACTTGATGCTATTTATACCAATTTGCAAAGTGACATTGACTTTCTAATTTTTTATTAATTAATGTTAAAATTTCCATGGAGGTGAAATCCATTAACTAGTCACCGACCCTATTGATAAAATACATGTTTAAATACCATTTAACCTTTCTCTCTTTTAGTTTCGTGTATGTAATTTCAAAACGTTTATTATTTTGTTCTATGTGCTTTCAACTTTTTTCAATTTTAGTTTCTATACTTTGGAAACGTCTATATTTTGTCCTTGTACACTTCAAAAGTTGACCATTTTGTAGTCTCTTCATTTTCATTTTTATCTCATTTTCGATCATAATTTTAGCATGATACTTCATTCACTGAATTTCTTGAAAGGTAGTCATAAACTTGTATTAAAAGATCTTCATTATGTATAAATTTTTTGTTAAAATTGTTCAAATAGGGACTCAAATTGATCAAAGTACGGAGACCAAAACATACATTTTAAGAGTACAATGACTAAAATGAACAAAAGTTAAAAGTACAAGGACCAAAATGACATTTTTACCGTGACTAAAAAGAATCAAAGTTATTAAGTCATTTATTTTAACAATAAGTTTCAAAGAAGAAAAAAAGAATTTCTAAATTACACACAATAATTTCTCAAAAGAAAGATATCATTTTTGTGGTATGAGACAACAATAAATTATAGTAATTTCTCAAAAGAAAGATATTATTTTTGTGGTAGGAGATAACAGTAAATTACCTACATTGACTGTACAACTTCAGTTTAAATAAATAAAACAAAGTCTATAAAATTTCAAAAGACTCATGAACTGTGATTACTCTTTAAGAAGAAAAAATAGAAAATCAAACTGTGAATGATTTCACTTGTCTATTAAAAAATACACATTTCTCTTTAGGGTTAGAGTATCAAAAGCTTCTAGAAGGAACATAAAAATGTGCTAGAAGAATATTCTCAAACCAATTAGTCAAAATTACCATAAGGGACAATATGAAGAAATTAATAACAAGTTCTCGACCATATGAATAATTTATTAATATTTATCCGTGCAATGATGACGTTGAAAATATAATATCAATCAAATTGCATTTTTTTTTCCATATATATTGCAAAAATATAATTTCTTTTGCTGCACTCAATACAAATTCTTCAATAAAGATTAATGATTAATCAAAAAAGGAGAAAGAAATGACTCAAAATGTCCTAACCTAATTTACGATGTGATTTCTTTGAAGTTTTTAAAATATAAGTTATCCTTTATTAACTTTTTTTTTTTTCCTTTTTGCATATGATACATTTATTTTAAGGTTTTGAAAACTGATAAACTAAATTCGCTAAGATTTACTTTTTCACGCACATATATATAACAAACAGAATTAGAATATAACACTATTTAAAGGAAAAAACTTAACTCACGAACATTCAGCAACTTTTAATATCTCATCATATCTCTTATATTTTTCTTCTTCTTTTTCTCTCTCTCCTTATTACATCTCATCTCTCCCATTTTTTCTCTTCTACAATGTTTTACCTTCATTTTTATATCTCTATTTTTTTAATTGAAATTTACTATCTTTTTATCAATTTTTTTAGTGTACTTTTCAATACCACATATTTATATTTAAAAAATAATATATTTTTCATTGTTACAAAAAAATCTTATGTTTTTCTCCTTGCAACATAAAGTAGAAAGTTGAACTTTAAAAAAAAAAATATTTGTCTTTTGGTTTATCTTCTTTTCTCATGTTTTTTCCTTTTTTAAAAGGTGTTAAAACTAAAATTATAGCTACATATACACCAGTCCCTCATTCAATATTTTTTCTATAACATAATATTACAATGATTCAAACTTTTAACCTATAAAAAAAAAGGACGAATATCTTAACCAATTCATTCATGTTCATAAAATTGACACCCACTCAAAATACAGTATTGTTACAGAAATTATGGCTATTAAAATATTAATATGTTAACCACTAACAATCAAAAGGGATGAAAAGACTTCTGTTAAACGACTGACGACAAGAAGCCAAGGAGAACTTTTTACAAAAATCAAGGACTAAAGAGAAGTTAATAATCCAAAAGAATGAACATGAAAGCTCAAAAACTAAATAGGATTCTTTTGGGAAAAAAATAAATAAGATTTGAGCCATATTTCTTTGCGTGTGTGTGTGGGGATATGTATGTGGGGGCAAGAGATCACAACAAACCATGCTATATTTGATGCGAGAAGACGAAAAGAGAGGAGGGTGAGGCATGGGGCCTCAGCCTCGGGATATTGACAAATTTCATGTGCCGTAAAGTGAAGAGAGAATCAAGGAAATGCCAAGCAGAAGTGGTCATAAATTTAGGCTTTTGGGTGCTTCATTTTTCTACCTGTTGTTGGCCACTACTGCCTCCCCTAAATAAAACCATCCAAAACAGAATTATACCCTCAAAATAATGGCTTCACCAAATGCTGGGGTTTGGTGGTGGACATAGCAGCTAGCACTACCACCAGCATTGTCCAAAATACTCATATGAAATGATCCCCCACTCTTTCTTCACCTTGATTTGATGCATTTTTGCCTCAGATATTTTGGTGTGATGAGTTTATCTTATACCAAAAGCTTGGTAAATTACCCCTATTCTATTCTCTAAGTTCCAAGACTTCAAAAGTTACAATTTAATCCTTGAATTTTGACAAATAATTCCATTTAGTGTATCTAAGTTTGTGTTGGACCTTTTTTTTTTTTCTCATTATTGTGGCCAACAAAAAATGGTAATGTC